GATCTTTGTTTTTTTATTTATTCACTACTAATCTGTGAAGAAATAATTGAGCAATAGAGTAATTCCTTGAGCGTAGATTATTGGTTGATTTGGTTTTCTAGTATGGGGATAAGAGGAGGATCATTGCACAAGGTGTATTTTAGCAGATGCTCGTAGCTTGCCCATCAGAAATAGTGCCCATGCTGTCTTTCCTGCATCTTTTTCTGCAGGACTCCAAAACAGAATGGAATTTGAAATACTCCATTTTAAGCTCAAATTGCATTAATCTCAGAAAATATTTTAGCTGCTATTGAAAGAAATAGTGCTGTAACTGAATGATTAAGGATGAAGAAGAGGGCTTTCTTGCCAGCGTGTATGATGGTTGATTTATAGCTAGTTTTGCTCTGATATTTGGTTACATCACCATAGTGTCGTTAGACTAATTTAGTGCTGTGGGAAAAGCTTGGTTTCCCGTTCTTTTATATTTCTTGTGAGAACGTATAGCGGTTGTAAAGCTCAGCTGGGACAGAGAACAGGCAAGCTGCTATATAGGAAGGGAAGTTGTATGGAGCATTACTACTGCTATTGTTAGGCTTTCCCAAAAGTTGCTCTAAAAACAACTTGTGTAAAGAACTTTTCTAGTTTTTATTTTGCTTGAACAGAAATTGTTACAAAAACCAGAGATTCAGGGTTTTGTTTTTTTTTCTTCTTCCTGTTGTTCTCAGGTGTCAGCGATTGGAAAGAGAAATTAGTTTTTTCACAGGAGACAACACATGCAATGTGGATGTTTCTGTACATTTAACCCTAGGTTATTTTGGCTGAGAGTATTGCAGAGTTGGTGTTCTGATGTAAAGGCCAGGTGTAGCATGCTCTAGCTTACTGCTTTTGGACTTGGCTAACTCCTACCGAGATCAGCATCCTACACATGGAAATCATAAAATGGTTAGAGTTGGAAGGCAACTTAAAGATCATCTAGTTCCAAGCCCCCTGCCATGGGCAGGGACACCTTCCACTAGACCAGGTTGCTCAGAGTCCCATCCAGCCTGGCCTTGAACACCTCCAGGGGTGGGGCATGAATAACTTCCCTGTGCAACCTGTTCCAGTGTCTCACCACCCTCACAGTAAGGAATTTCTTCTTAATATCTAATCTAAATCTACCCTCTTTCAGTTTAAAACCATTATCCCTCATTCTGTCACTACACTCCCTGATAAAGAGTCCCACCCCATCTTTCCCGTAGGCCCCCTGTAGGTACTGGAAGGGGCTATAAGGTCTCCCTGGAGCCTTCTCTTCTCCAGGCTGAACAACCCCAACTTTCTCAGCCTGTCTTCACAGGAGACATGCTCCAGCCCTCTGTTCTTCTTCATGGCCCTCCTCTGAACTTGTTTCAACAGGTCCACGTCCTTGTGTTGGGGGCCCCAGAGCTGGGCGCAGTACTCCAGGTGGGGTCTCACGAGAACGGAGTAGAGGGGCAGAATCACCTCCCTCAACCTGCTGGCCATGCTTCTTTTGATGCAGCCCAGGATGTGGTTGACTTTCTGGGCTGCAAGCACACATTGCTGGGTCATGTTGAGCTTCTCATCAACCAACACCCCCAAGTCCTTCTCCTCAGGGCTGCTCTCAATCCATTCTCTGCTGAGCCTGTATTTGTGCTTGAGGTTGCCCCAACCCACATGCAGGAACTTGCACTTGGCCTTGTTGAACTTCATAAGGTTGGCATGGGCCCACCTCTCAATAACCTCCATATTCTATTTCCAAGAGTTTTGATTGACATTTGTGGCATTGTGCTAGGTGTGTTGTTTTGTATATGGATATGCTGAATAGGAAATTTTTGGGGACTAGCTGGGGAGTTCTGTCATATCAGCTTCTAAGTTGGTATCTTCCATTTTACATCCAAATGAAAGACTTGGAGTGTAGGGGAAAACCTTGAAAATCTGCATTGGTACAAGCAGCTGCTGCATTTTAGAAGCACACATTTGAAAAATTACATATTTTTTTCCTCTATTGTAAGAGATGCCAAGTAAAGTAAAAATAAACAGATTCCTGCAAGAGACCATACAAAGGCTTTCTCGGAGATGGCGGCTCTTCTCTTCACTCTGTGTATACTTTAACAGATCCCTGGTGCCGTGAGGCTTTTCATGAGTGGGATGATCCCAGCAGTGTTGTAACCTAGTCCCTAGCAAAGAACTCGAACACAGCTCTAAGAATTGGATGTAGCTAATTTTCAGTTGTAAGCAAAGGGACAGATCCCTTTACTCTGGATTTTATATGTGAATTTATGGATTACAGCAGGCAAAGGTGAGATGCTGGGATTTTAGCTGAGGCCACTTTGAAAGCTGAGTTGTTACGGTTAAAGGCAGCGTCCGCAGTGCCCAGCTGAGCTGCCTTTGCCTCTGCTTGCATCTGCACAGTACTGGCCAGGCGTCTGCGTAAGGATAAGGGGTCTGGAGACTCACAGAGAGCATAGAATCGTCTAGGTTGGAAGGGACCTTTGAGATCATCATTGAGTCCAACCATCAACCTAACACTGCCAAAACCACCACTAAACCATGTCCCTAGGCACCACGTCTACTCGTCTTTAAAATATCTCCCGGGATGGCAGTTCCACCACTTCTCTGGGCACCCTGTTCCAATGCTTAACAACCCTTTCAGTGAAGAAATGTTTCCTAGTATGCAATCTAAACCTCCACTGGTGCAACTTGAGGCCGTTTCCTCTTGTCCCATCACTTGTTACTTGGGAGAAGAGACCAACCCCCCCTCACTACAACCTCATTCCATGTAGTTGTATTGAGCAATAAGGTCTCCCCTCAGCCTCCTCTTCTGCAGGGTAAAGAACCCCAGTTCCCTCAGCTGCTCCTCAAGACTTGTACTCCAGACCCCTCACCAGCTATGTTGCCCTTCTCTGGACACACTCCAGCACCTCCATGTCTTTCTTGTAGTGAAGGGCCCAAAACTGAACACAGTATTTGAGGTTTGGTGTCACCAGTGCCAAGTACAGAGGGACAATCACTTCCCTAGTCCTGCTGGCCACACTGTTCCTGATACAGGCCAGGATGCCATTGGCCGTCTTGGCCACCTGGGTACAGTGCTGGCTGGTATTGAGCCGGCTGTCAACCAACAGAAGCAGTCGCCAGGCCGTAACACTCCCTGTGCGTTTAGGTGAGGTTGTTGACTTGGTGGATTTATGAGGGTTTTTGGTTTGACTCATATTTTGTAAGGTGCGAGTGGGTGGAGCTGAGGTGTGGTGGAAGATTTGGTGTCTGTAACAGCAGAACAGTATACAAATGAGCTCTAGTTATGGGGTCCCTGAGTGACTGCTGGTGGTAGCAGTTATATGTCAGGGTAACATTTTGGACTACGCAATTTGTGTCTCTAGTAATGGGGGTAATTTCATCAGGTGCTTTTAGATATCAAGGACTTGAAAAGTATGATCCAACTAAACAATTGAAGTATAAGTAATTATAAGCGGATTATTTCTTACCTGGTTGCTCAGGCCAAGTTAACTGACGCCTTAACAGACACAAAAGTAAAACACAGTTTATGTCTTTTGGCTTCCTGTAGAGCGCTTGCATGTTTTTAGGGAGTAACAAACATTGTTGCAAGTGTGTCTGCTCCTTTGAATTTGTAATGTTTTGATTTATATGTGCAAAGATTGCTAATTTAAGAGAATCTAAGACTGAAACAAATGTATCGATTGGTCCGGACTAGCCTTTATACGTGACAGGAGTAGTTGTAATTAAAACTAGACATTTCTTTAACAACTTTTTTTTTTTTTTCTGAAATCCCCCACTACTTCTGGCCAAACTTGTATTATGTGCTGTACGTAGATTTGCGTCCAAGTCTTAAATTATTATTGCCTGACTCTTGCTAGCTTTTGTAGTAAAAAAATTCATTAAGTTTGACAACATTGTAAAAAGCCTTGCATAAGTTTTACTGCAGTTTTTAGCATTTTCTTCTGCCTTTTACTTAAAAGTCAGTATTTCTAAAAGTAATGAGCCTCTCAATAGATTCACATGAATGAGAACATTTGTTTTTTATTTTGTTTTTTGATCATCAGCTGATATACTGTTCTCTGCCCTGCAATTTTTCTCTGCACTGCAATTTATTTTTTTTTTCACTGTAAGTGTTCTGCTTGGGTGATGAATGGTAGATGTGCGTTCTGTTGTACATAATTCAGTTGCTCTTCCATTTGGAATCACACTGGAATGAAGGCATTGATAATTTCCAAGTAAATGAGTAGGTAGAAATCAGACAGCTTATTTATTTTTATGGGTTTAGCTTGTCAGCTTTTGTGAATGTTTGTGTTCTCTCACATTCTTCCTGTCTAACTTTGAATTTCCAGGGACCATTGTGTGTCTAGAACCATTTAACTTTGCCCATGCATATGAAATGTAGCTCTGCAGTGGTTTTGGTTGAATTTCAAAATGCAGAACGTAGCACAGTAACACTCTTATGAACTATCCAAGATCTCTTCAGGCAGATGGAAGAAAGTTCAGTACTTAATTTTTGCTGTCAGTTATGTAAACTATGCATTTTGAAGTGCAAGAAAAACTGACAGTGTTTAGATCTATCATTGTGCTTGTTTTTCCAGCTGTTGTAAAGTTTAAAAAAAATAAAATACTGGAGACAGTTGTTGTGGTACCTTCATAATAGTAAAGCCACTATCTATTAATGAAAACTATTACACATAAGTATCCTCAAAATATGTTATTTATATGGCACAGCTACATGTATATGAATGAATATGTGTATATAAAATCACATTCTTAGCAATTTCCTGATCCAGAGGATAAATAAAACCTAAGCTAGGTAGTGCTGTCTAGCTGGTTTCAGGAGTATGTCTGCTCTCTTGGAGATCTGACACATTGTAAATGTACTTTTGAAACAAAAATCCTAGATTTTTAGATCTTTTGCTCTCTAAACCAATTCTTTGCGTATTTTCCAGAAATAAAATTCAAATTCCATTACTATCTGGAAATCTCAATATTTTCTTTTTACTTTTTTTCTCCCCTTTGCCCCAGATATGCGTGATAAAATGAGGAAATGGAGGGAAGAAAACTACCGAAACAGCGAACAGATAGTGGATGTTGGAGAAGAGTTGATTAATGAATATGCATCTAAACTTGGAGATGACAGTAAGTAAACAATCATTATTTTTAAAACTTCCATTTTCTGATTTTGTTTTCTCTTTTCAGCCTCTATTTTATACTTCTGTGTTGCCTTGCTGTATCTGCTGATGTTAATTACATAGATATTACTTCCTTAAGAGTCTAATAGGCTGTCAGAATTCCCAGATTTTATTTCTTTTGCAAATATGGGCTGCAGTGAGAACAGATGGAAAAATTACTTACTAGAACTGTTAGTTTGCTAGATTAATAGTTAGACCATTATGTGAAAATGTAGCTTGAAATTGTTATCTAGCTGTCATTTGACTGATTCTTCTTCAACACCACGGCAAAAGTTGAAAAATATCTTTTTATAAAAGAGAAAGCTATTCTTTAATCAACTCATACATACTGCAGGATTTAATATTAAGGCTTTTTTATTATAACATTACATTTGTGATATTATAGTTGAAGGTAAGTCTTAAGTTTCCACTATTCATGAAATCGTTATTTTCAGGGCATATTAACTACCTTATACTAATTTCAGTAGACAGAAGCTTGGATATAACATTTCATACTAAAAGAGAATTGTTTAGAAATGTGTCACAATACAATAGCACTCTTTACTATAAACATAAAATAAAACAAAGTTTAACAAAATGCTATCAAGATTGTAGAGGTATGCCTATTAATCTCACACAGGTTTTTATTTTAATGCTTATTCTTCTTTCTTTTTTTCCCCCTTTTTTATAATTCAGGTAATTTATTATAGACATTCTCTAATACATTTCTCTTGTAGTCCTTTCATTGTATTAACTACTCTTATGCAGTCACACCTGGATTTTAGCAGCCACAGTAATACATTGTATTTACTAATAAAAGTTACAGTATTCCATATGATTAACTTTGTTCAGTTAGTTTAGTAAGTTAACTTTAATTTCAAATGGCTGACTTCATACATTGTTCCAGGAAATAAAGTCCACATAGTCATTTCAGAAAGACACTTTGCCTCCCTTTCTGGTCAGGTGAGGAATCTTTCAGTGTTGGTTTTGGGGTTCTACAGATCAGGGGTTTTTTTTGTATTGATGCTTTGCTCTGGTTCTGTCTTGTACCCTCTGAACTCTGATTCTCTTCTGGCATTCTTTCTAGTTTATGGAACTTGACCACTGCAGATGTTGTACTTTTTTGGATATAAACACATCTGCCCAAAGTATCATATATTGATTCACACAGCAGTGAGTCATGAAGTGCATTTGGAGATTCAGTGCCTGAAGAAGATGCTGCACTGTGAGGGGGTCTGGCACTGTAACTGTGAGGAACGTGCTTGTTTTTAGACTGCATGGGTAGGCTTAATACGCCCACCTGCAAGATAGTTGTCGTAGGTTCCCTCTGCTATAGAAGAACTTGGAGAACTAACCAAATGAAAAACAACATCCAAAAAATACCCCAAACACATACAATAGAATTCTTTCTTGGATAGTGACGGAAGGTGAATGAGTTGTATGTGATGTGTGTTAGTCTTGTTGTTTCATGTATTTTCAGAAAGTTCCTGGATATTATAATGGCTAATTTGAGAACACATATAGAAGGGAAAATAATGAATGCAATAGGGTGGATTATTTGGGTATCTCTGTAACTTGTTTCCTCAGGCAGAAGACGTCCAGTGTAATTGTGTGTGTGTGTGTGTGTAAATTACCATTATCGGTGTTTTTAAAATAAAAATAACTTACTGAATATTCAGTCTAAGGGGCGGGTGTCCTGGTTCTGGCAGGGATGGGGTTAATTTCCCCAGGAGCCGGCAGGGGGCAGGTATTCCATCCCACGTGAGCCATGCCCGGGCTATAAGAGGCACTAGCCGGGGAGGGGAGAGCAGTCGCCACTTGGGGGTGGGCTGCAGCGGTGCGGGTCTGGTCGGTGTGCTTCGCGGCGGTACTGTAATTGTGTCTTCATATCCCTTTATCCGTGCTATTGTTTTGTTTTCATCTTCCCTTTTCCTGTTCTGTTAAATTGCACTATTTTAACCCACCAGTTTTGCCCTGTCCATTTTTTTCCCATGGCTGTGGGAGCAGAGCGAGTGGCTGCGTGGTTCCTTGTTGCTGGCTGGGGCCAAACCATGACAGCGGGGATACTATTATCCACATCATAATTTTAATGAAAAGGATTTTCTTCTGGACAATCAGTAGTCCAAAGCTATTGAGTTGGACTTCAAAGTAGAGAAATAAGACCCTTGGCATTTTTTAGTGTTTTTTTTAAGCTTGAACAAGTAAGCCCTAGTACAGATTAGAAGAACACATCCCTCTGGATTGGATACTTGATTCCCTCCAAAGTGTTCTCTAACCTAATATCTGACACTAACCTGTGCTGGAGTTAGAGTATCAAAGTAGGGGTTTGATTGAATGGGCAGAGCAATTTTATAAACTATAAAAGTATCTTATTCTTGTGTTCAGAATTTTTAAAAATCATATGTAATTTATATCATGGATGTATGTTATTTGTATTTTGTATGTATCTATGTATGTATTTTTACATTCATGGAAGAATGTATACATTATATAATAAAAATAGAATACATGTCTTATAGATAGTTCCAATGAGGAAGAGGGTTTTAAAACCCTCTTTTTAAAACTTTTATTTTGTGGCAAATAAATGCCTGTTTCTTTTCTTTCGTACGCTTAGGAAGAAATAATAATTTCTTCTAAATATATTGAAAACTCATATCACAGAAACTATTTTTAAAAATGAGAGGGCCTTTATTATTTTTCATTTTATTTTTATTTTATATTTTATCTTGGAAGACATTTGCTTCTGTTTCAGTTCTATGAAATATTGGGTGCACCTGATCAGATTTATATGAGTTCAAAACACTTTGTACTTCTAATACTCACATAACATGTTTCTCTCTACTGTAATCTCTTTTTTCTGCCACTTGTGTAGCTACACGGTTAAATTCTTTACGTTCAAGACCTTGGTAGACCTAGAACAGAAATAATGTAATCTGTTATTGATTTAGAGAAATTGTTTAAATCCAGGAAGAAGACAATGTTTGTAGGACTTTCAGCAGTTAAGGGAAATTTGTTTTCTTTCTAGCTCAAATGACCGTTCTCCAGGTCTGATCAGAGAGCAAGTCCTAATGGGAATCTGTTTAGAAGACTGCAGCTATAATCTTAAGAAAAAGCAGAGAATTAGAGCTTTTTTGCCTTTCAAGATGTCAAAAAGTGCTTTGTTACTAAAAGCAATAAAATGGCTTAAATGTGTTTTTAATTAATTCCAGCAGTTTCTTAAAATGTCCCTGTTTCAGTAGTGTTCCATGGGAGTGGAAGGGGAAAAATATGCAGACAGAATTCACTAATCTTATTTACATTGTAGGTGTTTCCTATTATCTTAAAACAAATCAATTATCTGCATTTAATGTCTCTTTTGTGTCCAGTTTGGATAATATATGAACAGGTGATGATTGCTGCCCTGGACTGCAGTCGAGATGATTTGGCATTGGTAAGTTTTCATTTTGACTTTTCCCTCAAACCTTAAGTTTTCTTCCAGATAGTTCTTTGGACAGTTATAGGATATTCTGTACTCCATAGCTTGGACTTGTAGAGTATCTATCAAGAAATACACTGCTGGGAAGAAACCACCTCCACCCACCTTCTCTAATGTGTAACTTTTGTTTAGACAGATCACGTCTCTTCCAATAGCCATGAAAACATTTACAGCTATTCTGGTATAGGCTAAATGTCAAGAACAATATTAAAGTTGCCAAATTGTACAGAGAGTGTTTGTTTATTGAAATACTCTCAAATTATATTGGTTTTTTGAATGTTTTGAGGTAAAATATCCTGTCATGCATATCATATTATATGTCATGTTGGCTATCATCAAAGAAAGTCATTGACATATTGGGGCAAGTCTTCAAGATGAATAAGGAGCTGGACTGCATAATGTATAAGGAAAGGCTGAGACATCTGGGTTTGTTAAGTCTTGAGAAAGCTAAGAAGGGATTTTATTGCTGTCTTACGTAGTTATATGTACTAATAGGAAGGTATAAAGAAGGTGGAGACAGATTTTTGTAGACGTGCAGCAAAAAACAAGTGCGAGACATAAGCTGCAACAAAGGAAATTCCAATTAGATATTAGAAAAAAGTTTTTTAACAATGGGATTAGTGAACACTTTGGGACATGTGGCACAGAAGCTGTGGAATCTCCTTTGGAGATGCTCGGAAATGGATTGGGATATGACCCTGCCCTGCCTTGGAAGCTGGTTTTGTTTTGAGTGGGGATTTGGAGCAGGCAACCTCCAAAGGTCCCTTGCAATCCAAATTATTCAGTGATGCTTGATAAAAATATTGTTAATGGATATTTAGGTTTAGTCAATTTGTATGCAAATTTATTTGACTTATACAAATAACAATTTAGATAAAACGAGTTTGTTTAGAACTGCAACACCTGTTCACTAGATTAAAAATGAAAAAAACACCAAACAAAACAAAAACCCCAACCAATCGTAGCTAATCCTTTAAAGGAAGCAACTGAAAAAGGCACAAGTGTGTTTTGCAGGCAAATTTAAATAATTTTATCCCTCCTTCAGAAAACACTGGGGGAAAAAAAACCCATGAGCTTGTCTTGTGCCCTGAAAGCCAGCAAGCTGGATCTTACTCTAAGTAAAAGGAAAGATATTTTCAGGAGTCCGGGTCTTTCATGGGGATTACTGTTCCAGTGCCTTGTTCTGTGTCAGATGGCAAAATACCCCATAAAGTCTTTGAGCTTCACATGGTGTCATTTGGGTGAAACTTAATGGTCTGCGATATACAAGGGGTCAGACTAGAGGATGTAGTTGGGAGAAGGGCCGTTTGAAAATAGGCAGAACTTGACAAGTTTGCCTTCATCCCATAGGTATATGGTAAAATGGAATACACTGGAAAATACAGCACAACACGCTGAACTTGTCGTGAACCCACTGAACTTCCCTTTCTTTTGTTCCTCGGAAGAAAATTCTGTTGTAGGATAGCTGTTTCTTTAAACAAAACCAAACAGACTTACTGTTTAAATAAATGTATTTCTGTTTTCTGATGTATATCTAAAACAATATTGGTCTTTATTTTCAGGGTCTTTTTAGGAAGACTTTCACAGAATTGTTGAGGGAGCCTGTGTTGAAAGATCAATTGTGAAACACTGTTTATTTTCATTAACTCTGGCAGGGATTTTAAATTTCAGTTTCTGTGCCCTCTAAGGATTACTGCTTTAGATGAGGGAGTGCAACATTTTGTATGCAACTTCGAAAGGAGGTTGAAAGCTTAGAGGGGAAACTTCGTTGGTTTTTTTGTTTGTTTGTTTGTTTTTTTAAATTTGATTGATTTATGATAAAGAAGTAGGTAATTTAAACAAGTCAACATCATATGTGGCTTTTTGCTACAGCTGTAGTCCCAAAGTAGACAAACAGCTTTGCAACTTCTGTTTTTTAGCAGTGAGCTTTTGACAGCTGTGATGCATTTTGCTTAGGGGGATAGGTCTCATCTGCTCCAAATGAGGGAGCTGAGACAGTTTAGAGTCGTTTGTCTGACTTTTGTTTTTTCTTTTTCTTTTCTCTTTTTCTTGCTGTTGTCCTCTGTCCTGCACAATATGGCTATGTGTAATGCATGCCCCTACTGCAGTCAGCCAGTTCTTTCACGCGCATGTTTTAGTCAAATCACCTACTGTTGGCAGGCACTTGCGCTACCAGTGCTTTACGTGCTGAACTCCAGGTTTATATTTATTTTCCTCTGTCAGACCTTTAAAATTAAAAACTGATGTGATTTAAAAAAAAAAAAACCAACAAAGCAAATGAACTGCAAATTAAGATTTCACATACAAATAAGGTTTACCTTTCTAACTGCTGAGTTTCGGAGAGAATCTGGAAAGTAGATTATTGACATAATGCAGAGCCAGTCCTCAGTAACTTACATGATTATGGGGATTACAAGTTAAATTTAATAAGAGGACAATCAGTGCTGCTGAGTCCAGAACGTTTTGAAGATACAGCGAGTCTAGTTTATTCATGAGCTTTTGTTTTTAAAAGTGTTGCACTTAGTTGTTTGTGACTGTCTCACAACTTTTCATGTCACTTTATTGTGTCTGATATCTTAATCTACAGGATTTTATTTTGGCCTTGTGGCTGCTGTATTTGGTTTAATAATGATAGTGTCATCAGATCTAATGAGAATAATTCTGGTCTTCTAGTAGTTGTGCACTTGAGTGACATTTCATCAGCTTTTTATATTGTTGATGGTGTTCTTCTAGATGTAAAAGTCCATCTGCAGATTATGGAGTTTAGTATTATTGCAAATGTTACAATTCTTGACATTTAAAAAACTTTATTGAGAAAAGCAATGCGTGTTTTTATACTGAAAATCACTGTCCCTTGGAATTCCCAGATGACTGGGACACAGGGTGAGTTGTCTGCAAAAGTTCTTTATAAAATCTAGAAGATTGTATTGTAAAAGCTCGAGTGAAACTACTTTTCTGAAGCTTTATGTAAGTTTTCCTGTCTCTTAAGAATGTTCGGAGATTAGTTCAGACGTTGTGTAAGGTGCTGCTAAGTGCATATAGTTTTTTACGACAATTTGTTGTCCGGAGCAGCAACAGTTCACCTAGACATCACTCAAAGTGCCAGTAAAGTGTTTCTGTACTAAACCTGAGTCTTGCTATGTGAAATTTTATTGTTGAGATCTTGGTTCATTGGAAGCTAAGGTGATCATGATGAAAATACTCTGTGCTTAGCATTACTTCTTTGGTTACTGTTTCCTTTCTCTCTTCCTTCTCTACTATTGCATCTGGGAGAGGTGAATATTTCTCTTTGCTGTGCTCTAGCAACCTGTTTATCTACAGAAAGAGAGGGAACCTACTAATTTTTACTGATTTGCTTCTGTATTTTTCCTTTGACCAGTGGATGTGATGAGATGGAATAGATTATGTAGATAGGCCTCTGATAGTATCTTAGGTCTGAAAAACAAGTTTATAAGCTGAGTTGTATAAATAAAGGTCTGGAAAAAGAGGGTTCTGTGTGAAGCTTTTAATGTGATTCAAACCACTGGTCTTTTTGAGAGCCTGGGGACTGTCCTGCCTCCCACCGTAATGAGTCAGCTACAAACTTTGCAGTGCGATCTAGCTGCATTAATGATATGGTTAGAGTTAGTTTGCTCTGGGGAACTTGTGACTCAATCCCTCTACCAAACATCCTTTTTTTGCTAATCCAGAGAAATCTGCCAGTTATGAATTCCTTTTATCTAGCCCAGGTGTCTCATTGATTTCAGGAGTTAGAAGCTATGCCTTTTCTGCCAGCAGGCTCAACTCAAGCCAGTGACAAACATTTTCTTTGGATTTCAAAGTTTTATTTTAAAAATAAACACAGAGCATAGTATTAACATAGTTTTTTCCATTCTGAGATATCAATTTATCAAAGAAGTATCACATAAGCTCTTACCGTCTTTGGGTTTTTTTTGTCTTGTGTTATTATGAGGCAACTAACTTGACTTCAAGTCTTAATAGTATCAGAACTGTTATAGTAGGTGAGTTTAATTTTCTAGACAAATAACTGTTTCCAAGAAGGCCTGATGATCTAATGACCTGTATGGAAGATATTTCTTAGAATTAGTTTTCTAACAAACAAAGTTTTGGTTTCTGAGCTTCTCTTTATCAATACATTTTATTGCTTATTTCAAAAACTGGTATTTGCTTTAACTCAGAAGTGCCATTTGGGTTGTTGCATTCATCAGCCAAGAGCGTTTTCTTTCTTCTTCCAGCTTCTGTGTAGATAACTATATTAACAATAGTATTTTTGGTTTTATTTGTATAGTTTTGTCTTCAGGAACTAAGGCGGCAGTTTCCTGGGAGCCACAGAGTTAAACGGTTAACTGGAATGAGATTTGAAGCTATGGAAAGGTAAAACCTGAATGTACTTTTCGTCTGGAAAGGTGCTTGCTATCTCTTAAAAAGGCATTCAGGCACTATAAAAACATGGCAAAGCAATGCTGGGCAGTTTATAGAAGATTATGCTGTGCATGATCATATTACAATGTATAGAAATTTTTATTGCATTTTTGCATATACTATGCAGTGTTGCGTTTTTGCGATCTTCCCATCAGACTTCATAGATTAAAAAGATCTCTTACATGACAGCATAAATCATTATACAGTAAAACACTAGACACTTCTTTGGTGAAGTCTGTGAGGTATACATTTCATCTCACGGAGCTAGAGCAGCATATGAAAATCAGTGCCAGCGGGTTTTTGCCTTCATTTTTTTCCTAGGCTCCTAATTACTGCAGAGTATGGCTCTTTTCACTTGTTTTCTGAGCGTGGATAAACCCAGTAGAACCTAATAAGGATTAAATTTATAGAGTTTCTTATAGAAACAAGCTAAAAAACATGGAATAGAGTGGCAGAATCTAAAAATCAGACTGACCTTTTTGAAATATCCTATAGAAGGGCTATAATGTACTAAGATTAACAGGAATTATTAAAATAATGAACAGCTTGAAACTTTACAGCTTTCCAAGATGAATGACCTCAGGGCTTGATGATGACCTTAATTGTCCACCTTTCTCCTTTGGATATATCCTTGATATCAACATTCTGTTCTAAAGCACCTGTCTTGGGTGTTGAGAAGGACTTCCAGCTTCCAGTGCCTTTGAATGCTAGCAAATCTGTTCCATGCTCTGTTTTGCATACAGAGTTGGTGAGATTTGGAGCCTTTGGGCCATCTTGATATGAAGGAATTAGAAGTAAACCACTAAATACTTTTTCTTGTACTTTATTTATTTAGCAGATGTTCTTCACCCATTACATCCTCCAAAATTAACTTTGAAAATGTTATTTGATATGAGCCACCAATGAACGTCCATTGCTTGGATTAAAAAAAGTGGATAACTGGGCTGACTCCACAACCACAGGAGCAATCTCGGGGCAACTAGATGTGTCATATTTCACACTCACTTTATATCAAATACACTTTCATGAAGAAGTTCCATTAAACCTAGCTCTCTTTCTGTCTTCATTTGACATAGGGTAGGAAGACAGTGAGAGAATGGCAGCAGATTCCCCCCCCCCGCTTCCTGAAACCTATTCAGAAGTGCAAAAGATCATAATTCTATTCAGGCTTACGTGACTACACTGAAGATGTTATTGCATGGGAACAGATCTTTGTGGGAGATGACTGCTGCACAAATGTTATGTGTTGTTTCAGCAATGAAGTGAGACTGAGCCACGGTTTTGTGGAAAGTACTTGTAAAAATTCTTGACAAAATGTGTCTGTCAGGTTAGATCCTTGAGATCGGAGTATCAGAGGAGAGGGGCATTAACAAAAGCTGAGGTTTCATCTTCATAGATTTTCTCCAGGAGTCAGAGAAGAACAAGAGGCTTCAGCTCTGGGTTGTCTTGAACGGGAACCCATCTGCAGGTGCTGTAAGCCATGCTCTGGAGAGCCTAGGGAGACTTAGGCTGGAGTGATCGCATGTTCAATTGAAGAAGTGAGCTTCTTTTTAAATTCTGAGTGGCTCCCAGGAGTTGATAAGGTCCTGCCTTCCCTAGTGAGGAACATCTTTGTAGACCGAGACATCCCTTTAGACCTCGGCTTATCAAAATTATAGTATTCTGGAACTTCATACTGTAAAGCTGCGATTATGGCCATCGTGTTCAGTCTTGTAGAATACATGGGATAAAGTAGCAACTAACAGGGAGGATGAATACAGCATTTTATAGCATGTCTACTCAAGTCTGTAGCAGTCACCTTCTACTCATTTCTGCTTTTGTGCTGCCTTTCCTATTTGTTCTTATACCTTACGGTAACTGGAGTGTACAGCTGAGCTATGCAAATCGCAGCAGTACTTAGGGAGCAGTAAGGAGTACGTAAATGGGTGTCCAAGGTGAGAAGGGGATATGTAACATCAAAATCAATGAACAATAACTCTGAAAAACTACTTGTCAAACTATAGCTGAAGACACAAAATGTGCTCTAGTTATGTGGTGATAGCACAACAGCTGTATAATCAAATGTATTTTGAATTATTTCATTTGTTAAGTTTGGGTTCTGTACACAGCTGGCTGAACACACAGATCTGCTTCCCAGAAGGTATAACGCATTTATAGCAGCTAGAGTAACCTTTCTGAGCATACTTCAAATACCAGAATTAATAAAAGCTATGTAGTGATGGTGGAAAACGTTTTCCTTCAAGATTTATGGGGTGTAGTCTAGGGGTGGCCTCTTGTGCGAATCCCTCCAGTTTGCTGTATGCGGCTGCTTATACTTTATAAAATTGTAACAGAAGAAACTTACATGAAGTTTTAAATTACAACAATGAAGTGAAAAGTCATTATTTTGGATGGCCTTTCAAATTTTGGGGTTTCTGTTTCTTGGGAGAGGTGAGAGGGAGAGTTGAGATGTGATGACTGGACCTATTGGGTGCAGAAAAAGAGAACAGGTAGGAGAATAAGAAATTGGGTATAAATATGTAAGTTGCTGCCGAAACAGTATTCCATGAAGCGATTGCCATGTATTTTTTTAACTTAGTGACATAAAATACTGCTGTTCCTATTTAGCACTCACTCAAAACAATTTTGCATGACTATAGTTTGTTTAAATATATTCAGTATAAAAAGTGCAGGAGGGTTATTAACTATTGCAAGGGCAGTCAAAAAGTTAGGAGTTCTGTCTTAGCAGAAATAAATGCGAATTATTTCTTTGAACAGGTATGATGATGCAATCCAGTTATATGATAGAATATTACAAGAAGATTCAACTAACACAGTAAGTTTAGAAGATTTTTCTGAACTGCAGTGGTTTGCTGTTTGGAATTGTGATAACATGTTGTGGGTTTCACTGTGGAAAAACGTGTGTCTGTCTTACTGTATTTGTTTCCTTTAGTTTCCTTGTATAGTAACCGATGAGATTTGTTTCATGATGAGAAGACGTAATGTAATAACTGCTTAAACACTGAATTTAGAAGACAGGATTATAACAAGCAACCTTTCCAGCAGTGTTAGTAGGGTTTAGATTGGGCCTTTCAACTTTTCCATTTGCCCTGTGTATTCAGTATTTAAAAGACAGATATAGTCTGTCATGTGTCTTCTGTCTTCCTAATGCAAAATTAAGTATAGATACACTCAGGTAGTGCTCGAATAGCAGTTATTTTGATTTACTGTCTGGGACACTTTACTAGCTTTTGAATCAAAATGCTATAAAGCTTGCCAGTCGTATAAACCAAAATCTGGGACAGGCTGTACTTTTCTTTTAAGCATTTTTTGAATACTTGTGTAAGCCACCTTGAGCTATTAGATGCCAAAATGAAGGTCTAGGGAAATTTGTAGCAATATATTTTCATACATTTTTTTCCACAAGGATAAAACTAGAAATGTGAAGAAGCTATGGAGTTTCAAATTTTTATATTACATGTTGCAAAGTCCAAAGTTTTGGCAGTCTCATGTAAACCTTCCTTGGTGTGTTTTGAACCTCTGCCTTTCTTCAGTTGGCTTATTTGATATGATCCGCTATTCAGGAGAAGAAAACCCACAGAAACACAGATGGCTGGGGGTGACTAGGGTATGCCAGAGCTGGATATAAAGTGCCATGACTTAAACTAAGTAAACCATTAAAAAACTCCCCAAAACAAATTAAAAAAAACCAACAATCAAAAAACACTCAAAGCTACCAAAGCAGAAAATTATTTTCAAGGCAACACATCTGAAAATGTTAACGCTAAGTTCAGCACTCGGCTAACAGTGGCAGATTAAAGCCTGTGTCTTTTAGGAGTGATAGAACTCATATTTTCTGTGTGAGGGTAAGAAGAACCATTTCAATTCTTCACTCTTATTTTTCACTCTCCCTTGAGCAGTGTTACTTGAACTGTGTTCCGTAAGACTAATGTGGGTGATCTGTAGTTGTCCTTTGAAAGTCTATAGTGGTTGTGAGTAGAAGTTTGAGCACAAGGTGTGTAGCTGTCATAAGTAATTGTTGATGGATTTTATCAGTGTACGGCCCAAACAGTTTCAGAGACAGTAAGTCTTCAGAGTCATGTTAAAACAAGACAGAACCCATCTACAGTGAAACCACAAGAATAGATCACCTAGGTCACAGATAAAAAGGCCAGGCTGGACGTGGCCTTGGGCAACCTGGTCTAGTGGGAGGTGTCCCCGCCCATGGCAGGGAGGTTGGAACTCGATGATCTTTAAGGTCCTTTCCAACCTAAACCATTCTGTGATTCTATGATAGGTGCACATTTTATGCCCTTTTGGTGAAGCCAGTGCAAAATGGAGCACCATATTACAATGGCTTCTGTGGACCACAGATCTTTGAAGTGTGTGTTTTTGGCAGTTCTACTCTTCAGCTGTCTCAACATGGCTAACGTCATCCGAGTGGTTTGTTGGATAGTTTTATAAAATAAAATGATATATTTAAATAAGTATTGCACATGACTATTACCTAATTTGGATTTCCTTCTTAACAAAATCATAAAGATCCATAAAATGGTAATATTTAGAAGCATTAAATGTAAATATTAGAACAGCTGCATGATCTATTGGATTTCTTAAGATGTGAGAACAGAAGCGGAGTGTTAAATGCACAGCAAAGATTCCTTGCAATATTACTACAGCATAGGTTGGCTAAGCCTTGCGCGTGAAGAGTGAAAGTTAAATAGAAAGTTTTGATAAATTGTCATGTGCAGATTTCTTTGTGTCTTTCACCTGTTAATTATTTCCATGCACACATGTGGCTGCTGTAGGAAAATAAATATTTCAAGATTTTAAAAAAGAAACTGTTGCTGAGTTTGTCTTGGCACTAACGTTACCTTATAGCAATTTCTTTTGGTCTGCTGACACATGGAGTTGCTTATATACATTAAATGTTTTGGCAACATGTTGTAAGTGAAACACAGACATTTGTTCACACGAATCATGTAAAATCATACTTTGCATCGACTGACAGTTTCAAGTGGAAGCATGAACAAAGCTTTTTCAAAAAATTACTTATTTTAGACGCCTAGCAGACTTTTCCATTATGAAAAGTGAACTTTGAACTCAAATTATGTAATGGACATTTACACTTTCAGATGGGGTTTTGTTGCATGCAAAACTCCGAAATTAAGATAACAGTAATTATTTTATTTCATTTCTTAAGATAGAATTCAAAGTAGTCTTTGTTTTTAAAAGATGACCATCTCGATGTTTTATCTCACTCTGAGCTTACTTGCTGAAAAAGATGACTCATTTGACAATGGAGCAATGTTAATGTTGTCACTTCAGAGATTGTGTTTCATTTTTCAAAGCCTGTAGGCATTGAGTAAAAGTCTGTCTTGTCTCTGAGGAGTTTAACATTAATGAATGAAATGTGACTCCTGTGAAAAGCACAACTTGTGTGCATTTTGATAGGATAAGAATGGGAACCCTTTCCGTTCTTGTCCATTTTGGTTGAAATGAAGGCTTATTAGAGCTGTAGATGGCAGATTACTCTGTTATTAAAGCTGCATAACATTTTCGATTGTAGGGCTTTTTGTATTAATTAAAATTTAATTTAATATCCAATTGAAAATTTTTATACTGGTGCTGAACAGTGGCTGAGGAGTTTGTCTATCTTCAGATAAAATGCTTTCCTCAGCTGTTCCTCAGAACAAAATAAGAGGGACATTGTTTTTTTAGCAGGGTTGGTAGAAGACTTTTTTCCTCTTTTTGCTGTTAATGTATTTCATTGAGAAATCCTCATCCTGCTCTCCTTTGGAGGGAAGCATTGGATACCAACAGGAAAAGAGCTCTTGGTAGAATGCAGCTTTTATTATACTATGAGAAAAACACCCCAACTGGCTAAGTTGCGGGCATTTGAAAATCTTCACTTCATGTTCTCAGTAGAGTCTGCTGGAATTTTTATTAAATGCATCTTCTTAAAATCCCGTTTGTATTGAGCATGATCTATCCCAGGCTACAGAGACTAAGCAGGGCTTCCTTGCAGTTGCTCCTTGTGGCTGTAGGGCTGTGGGAAAGGGGCAGAAAGCAGGGAGACTCCTTTCTTTTCTGAGTTGCACCCAAATGATGAGCAGAAGGACAAAAACATCCAGCAGGAACCGAGTAGAAGAAGAAGAGGAGGAAGCAGAACGGTGAGGACCAAAAGAGAGAGGGACAGGTAGTGAAAGGTTAGGTGATTAGTTAATAGGAGAGGTCAGGTCAGATGTGGGGGAACAGAAGGCCCCAGGAGTGTGGGTAGGATCAGAACAGAGGGATTTGTATTAACATTTAAGGTTTGGGAGCTTTTTTTTTTTCCCCATCAAAGAAATAATTTAAAAAAAACCCACATTTTGCCTTGAGGCACTGTATTTTCTGCTGTCACTAAATAGCTTTGAGACCTACTGGTGAAATGTCTCTTATTCCCTGTAGTACCTGGTGTGTATTAGTTCTGTCAGTAACTGTTTTGGCTCTAATAGTGAAGGCACATACCGTCTGAATGCTGCAAGTAACCAAATTTGTGGTTCTGCAAGTGGAATTTCTGTTCTTCCACTAAAGAAAACCTGGGTACACTTCATCCTTTCTGGAGAAAAGGCTGAATGCTCAAGCATGCTACTTAAAAAATGCCAGAATCTGCAACACCCTTAAAATGATCGGTAGTCGTTTGAAGTAAGTAGTTATTGTTTAGTGGTATCCTTTGTAAATTCAGATAAATACAATGGCCAAACTTTGATATAATTTTGTAGTATGAAATGTAATCCACATTCAAACTCTAGGCATTTTTAAATCGTAAGTTGATCTTCACAGTGTTCTCAATATCTTTATTAGTGGTCTGGATTGGAGTTTATGTTTAGGATGGATTGCTTGTGTAGAATTCAGTAGGAAATTTGCATGGAATTGATATATCTGCATTTTCTATTTGATATGTAAGTCCTCATTTCTGGAATGGCTCTTACATAAGAACCTTACAAATGGAAGTAGTATCTTGAATGGTTTTTTCTGTCATTTGTCTCACAGCAGCTGCGTGAAATGAAATAGTACTGACATTTTACATATGGAGAGCAGATGAGAGCCCAGCTCTGCAAAATTATTTAGGACTCAGTTCCTAAGCAGGCAGTTAGCTCTCTGGTTTTGCTATTGATTTCAATGCCGGAGTGAATATTAATTGAGGGTTTTTTTAAACTGTATCAGATTAAGTTGAATGCCTTTTTGCATTATTTTACCCTAGCAAAGATTCTGCTTTTGGGGAGCAATTTGAACGTAGACCCATGTATTTTAAGTAGATAGCTAAGTATTTTTGTCAGTTGGGCCCTTCTCAAGGTGGCCTGTCCAGGAGTGCAAAGAAGATTGATGATGAGACAGGAAATTGAGTTCATGCGTTCAAGACCAGTTGGTGTCTAACCCACTCCGCTGTCATCCTAGTGCACCTGCAGTTTCTCCTGATTCTTCAACTCGACCATCAAGAAGATTGCAGAGCACTTGGTCAACACCAGCAGAAAGTGAGATAAAGCACAAAGTTCTGCCTTAATTCTAATCCACAGAAAATCTGCTGTCTTTATTGGGTTAATTCCTCTGCTGTTTTTCATGCCACTTTTTCAACTAAGCTTTTAATACAGCAAGACACTGTATATGCTTGCTTATCTTAGGGCATGTGGATAATCTCATTAACTTCATGGGTCTAATAATGTAATTGTGTGAACTAAGAATTAAAAATAGAAGTTTCAGAACAAGATTTTGTTCTGGGTGAAGCTGTTGTCTTTCAGGATTCATAAAATACTTCACTAACAACTCTGTTGTTTGTGGGAGTGGGCAGAACAA